CCCCCCCCCTCCCCTCAGCCCTGCATCCCTTGCACCAACATATTATCTAATTTTTCGACTTGAAACACACATCTTCAAACAAAGATTCTTTATTTCAGTTTCGCCGAATCAGCGAGAATAATTTTATACTAATCTGAAAAAGTTTAGAGCTTTGTTAAGTGTTGGTTAAACTAATGAAAGATACTAGAATTCACTACATAGATATCACATCAGATAAATGAAAACGGTAGTTTATGCCGCTAAATATTGTGTATGGTATCTGGTATTGTTGATGTATATCTCTGCAAAAATGCTGAAAGGGTCTGTGCACATTTTCAGAGAGATAAGATTTATCTATAAATTCTTTCGTCATTAGTAAGTAATGGGACAAAGGATTAAAGGCAACACTTCAAAGTTATCATGCTCCTAATAATGATTTTCACAATCTTATAAAAAGGTGATGAGTATATCTATATTTATAAATTGTTCCTAACTATATGATGTCGCAGATTTAACAGCCCAGGCAAGTTGTGTGTTAATCACAATTTATCATTTTTTTTTCGGCGGATTCGTTTTGAAAGCATGAAAAAATAACTCGTTAAAAAAATATGAATTTATTCTTTCATTCTGTTTAAAATTCTTTTTTCCGATTTATTTTTAAAATAGATAAGGTTTTATATTAAACTGTTTAAAGTTTTAGGCTTAGGGGTCAATATTAAACTGTTTAAAGTTAAGGGTTAGGGGTTAATATTAAACTGTTTAAATTTTCAGACTCATGGATCAATATTCAGCTGTTCAAAGTTTCAGGCTCAGGGGTCAATATTTAACTGTTCAAAGTTTCAGAATCAGAGGTCAATATTCAGCTGTTTAAAGTTTCAGACTCAGGGGTCAATATTTAACTGTTCAAAGTTTAGAATCGGGGGTCAATATTTAACTGTTTAAAGTTTCAAACTCCGGGGTCAATATTTGACGGTTTAAAGTTTCAGACTCAGGGGTGAATATTTAACTGTTTAAAGTTTTAGGCTCAGGGGTCAATATTTAACTGTTCAAAGTTTCAGACTCATGGATCAATATTCAACTGTTTAAAGTTCCCGGCTCCTCATGGGTAAATATTCTACTGTTTAAAGTTTGAAACTAAGGGTTCAATATAAATAAATTCAAAGATTTCAACTCAGTGGTCTATATTCAACTGTTTAAAGTTTCAGACTCAGGGGTCAATATTTAACTGTTTAAAGTTTCGGACACCGGGGTCAATATTTGACGTTAAAGTTTCATGCTCAGGAGTCAATATTCAACTGTTCAAAGTTTCAGGCTCAGGGGTCAATTTTTAACTGTTTAAAATTCCTAGCTCAGGGTTCAATATTCTACTGTTTAAATTCCTGGCTCAGGGGTCTAAATTTAACTGTTTTCTAGGCTAAGAGCGTGATAATGATGTTCGGCTCTTTAACACACTGTAAATGTTTCTCCAGGTTTACAGCTACTAATGACAAGGTTGTAAAGAAAAGAAGTTTAAATAAGTCAGTATTTGAACTAAAACAGATTGAACCTGACCTCATGGATGTATTTTTAAACTTTTATTTTATTTTTCAATAAATCTGAAAATAACAAAACTTACAATTTCATTTATACACAATACAACATTAAATCCTTAACTACATAATGTTGTATAAACTTGTTGAAGATGAGAGTAATGAGAGAATTGAAAAATCTGAATTATCAGATGAA